TATATATATTAGATGCAGTAAAAAGAAATCCATTAGTTTTCCATTCAATTTCATGCAAAAATAATGGATTTGTTTTTACTACACCTAATACACACGCACACACACAGAGGATATTTGATAAGTAACGATAAAACTCTCATAAGAGTAGAGCAGACTAAACTTCCAGACTAAACTTATTCAAAACATCCTCTATCATTTTGCAATTTTCGCAATATTGCAGTTAACAATATCAATTACTAAAAATCACCGAATATTAGTTTTCAATAAATTTTTACTCAACTGCTATCAACTTAAAAACCAACAAGAGATAAAAATTGTTTATTTTTTCTCATGGAGAAAATTTTTTCTCTGAGAATTTTTCAGATTTTTTTTTAATTTTTTAGTATATTTTTTTATTGACAATTATTTTTACCAATATGAGAAAATACTAAAAAATTCTGAAAAAAATTTTCAAGAAAATAAACAATTTTTGTCACTTGCTGTTTTTCTGTAAAGTTGATAGTATTTAAGCAAAAAATTAAAATTAAAGATTAATATTCGGCAATTTTTAATAATTAATATCTCATTAACTATTGCAAAAATTGCAAAATAGTAGAGGACTTTTCGATTCAGTTTAGTCCACTCTACACAAAAGTGCTTGGCAAAAACTTACAGAGACATTCTGTATAAAATGTATATAATGTACTTATCATTTAAATTTGAAGGGATTTAGTTGCAGATCTCGTCAATTTTCAGCTTAATTCCTGTCCCTTACTTCACCAACTCGTATGCAGTCTAAATGCCAATCAGTGCAATTGTATATAAAATTGTCATTGTAACAATTAATGATTCTTATAGTCAGTCCAATGATTAAGATAGTGTTTGCGAGTTTGAGTAATATGACTTTTGTACATATTATAATATAAATATTATTACTTTATATTATTACTTTAAATATTATTAAAAAAGTAGAACGATATTGTACGATTGCGTATCATACGATCATTACTTGTTACCGGCAATCTCCTTTTAAAAATTCTTCTCTGTATTAATATATTAAACATAATATATTAAAGAAAAATATCCCAAATATTTACAGAGTAATAAAGAGAGTAATAAAAATTGAAGTTTTAATTCTACAAAATTGATGTTAAAATTTATAACCCATAATCCATCTATAACTTGACTGACGCTGATTTTGTGAGATTTTTAATAGATACATACATTAATATACATTGATATACATTGATTAAAAGGCACTAATTAATTTTAAGAGTCCAAAATGATATAACAAGGAGCATATAGTCACGCAAGATGTTTTTGCACATAGATTTAAAATTTAAAATGTAAATGTTTCGGTCAAGTTTTGATCGTCAGTACAACTAAGAGAATGCAAGATGTTACATTAAAAAAACACAAATTGAGAAAAGTGAACATAAAATGCGAAAATTAATTCTTCTTTTTGGCATATGAGATTTTCTTATTGAATATTATTTCTTGATTGCTGTATGTTAAACACGGAATTATCAGATTTTGACAAACAATTTATTTTATTTATAAAATAAGTTATTATCTTTATTTTAATTTATTAAAATGAATTAATTATAAAAACTTATCTGTATTTTCACAATGATCAATTACACTATTACAGTGCTGTATTATTCGGTATGAAGAATATTACAAAAATGGAATAATTTTTTGATAATAAGAATATTATTTAAGAAAGATCGAATAAT